GTTCCTTTTTTTTTTTTTTTTTTTTTTTTTCTTGTCTGATACATAAACAGTGGATTCTTATGAACCAATTTTTTTAAGTTAATAGTTTTTAGTCAGATTCATTAACAAAGCAATACAACAATTGACTCTTATGAAGGCAAATTAAAAACAATGATGCAAGGGGGCGCTTACATAAAATGATAAATAAAGAGAAAACTATTTAGGAAAGGGCTAGTTTGCCCAAAATAACATAACTATCTATCTCCATTTGCAAACCTAATTCAACATCCAGTGCAAACTTTACTGCATGATGTCACCACTTGTGGACAGGGTCCCGTCTCATGGTTTCAAGAGAGGTTCCAAGATTGGTGGTATGTCACTGGCAAGGTTGGCTTTTTAATGTGTGATAAAATACATTTACGCAGAGTATATCTTTAATAGTTTTGTGTATGTGCCATAAAGCCAGTTTTATAATTGCTCCCAAGTTTTGCCATAAAGCTCGTTTTATAATTGCTCCCAAGTTTTTAGTGGCGAGCATATGCCTTTGTTTCTATGCTGGCTGCAAGAGCAACAAGCGAGCTTGTCTGAGCTGTATTATTGAAGTTCTGTATGCAGGCATGACTCACTGAGACAGGAGGGCACTGGGGAGTGCTGCCTTTTCCAGGAGCAGCACAGCTAATAAAAACCACACTGTCATAGCCAATTAAACAGCCAGTGATATATCAATGGAATGGGCAGTCCTGGATGAGTTTGCTAGAATGGGCCAGCCATCAACTCTCACACACTATAGGCTATCCTGGCCCAGTTAGTCCTCATTTGCTCTACAGGATGGCTTTGTAGTGTGGAAGACTCCACCTCGCCTTAAAATCTCCAACAGGGTCTCAGCACTGACCTATTTCCAGCCTTCAAGCCTGCATAAGAATATTCCTCTGCCGGAGAGAGCTCTGTTACCATAGAGACAGGCTGGGAAACGGGACAGGAAAGAGAAGGAGCGAGTGGGAGCGAGACAGGAGAGGAGTGACAGAAAAAAGAGGGAGGGAGAGACAGAGATAGAACTGTTTTGCATATGACAGCAGAAAAAAATCGTGGCCGTCTCATTCCTTCCGTCCCAGAAAGCATGCTGTTTTCTCACAAAAAATGGCTTACGCGGGGAACAGATTTCGCACGGTGTTATTGTTCCAGGTATTTTTAGATAGGTAAATACCTGGTATACTAAAGGTACCTGTCAACCCCCTCTCTGGGTCGTCTGAGTGCTTAAGCAAGTATATAGACAACATTTATAATTGCTTACTCATATTAAGTTCTGCTGTTATGTATAAAACTATCCAGAGGACTTAAATTCCCAGTTTGTGGCTTACCTCCTATCTGGTCATTGACACAAGGCTATTTTCCCAGTAGCCGATTTTCTTTGGACAAAGTCGGTTTCTAAAGCCTGACCTCATCAGCTGCATTTCTCTCTTACAGCGAGTGTTTGCTCATTAAAGTGTTTTCAGTATGAGGCTTTTAAAGATGCGGGCTGTTCATTATACAGGACTTCAAAACATGGCCCGAATATATTCCACTACAATGACACCCTTCGAGCTGTTTTCCTTTCAGCCTAATACATTTCATGCAGGTCTCTGAAATTGTTACATGATATGATGAGGACTAACAGCATTGCAAGAAATAAGGTTACTGTACAGCAGTATCACTTCCTTCGGATGTCACCTACTAACCCTCAAAAGTGATGTTTCCTACTTGTTTACACTGTAACAATTAAAATAGAAGGAAATTATCTTAGTCTTTTTGAGATACAGAGAGCATCACATTTATATAAGATACACAGTGTCTCTTTCAACCTGGCTAGCCTTTAATCTGATTGGCTGACTGTTGTTAAAGGGATAGTACACCCGAAAATTAAAATTCTGTCATTAATTACTCCACCCTCATGTCGTTCCAAACATGTAAGACCTTCATTTATCTTTGGAACACAAATAAAGATATTTTTGATGAAATCCAAGAGCTTTCTGACCCTGCATAGACAGCAACACAACTACTACGTTCAAGGCCCAGAAAGATAGTAAAGACATTGTTAAAATAGTCCATGTAACATCAGTGGTTCAACCGTAATGTTATGAAGCTATGACATTACTTTTTGTATGCAAAGAAAACAAAAATGACGACTTTATTTAAAGATTTCTTCCTTTCCGTGGCAGTCTCCGAGGCATGTTTACAACAGTACCACTACGTATGCATGTGCATTCCTCTGCATGTAAACAAGGCACAGCGCATCTGGGTTCTACGTCAGAACGCTGCATGCATTGTGGTACTCTTGTGAACGCGCGTCGACTGACACGGAAGAGAAGAAATTGTTTTCATTGCTCACAAACAGTATTCTCATAGCTTCATAACATTACGGTTGAATCACTGATGTCACATGGGATATTTTAACAATGTCTTTACTACCTTTCTGGGCCTTGAAAGTGGTAGTTGTGTTGCTGTCTATGCAGGGTCAGAAAGCTTGCGGACTTCATCAAAAATATCTTAATTTGTGTTCCAAAAATTAATAAAGGTCTTATGGGTTTGAAACGACATGAAACAACACATGAAACATGAAACTTTTTCCTGCTGTTTTCCCACTTTTCAGTATGGTTTGTTGTTTTTTGAGGGGAACCCACCCCTAAATGACAGTCTCTTCCTCTCTGTAGGCAGAATAAGCTGCAGACCAGACTTTTCATCATATAGTCAAAGGTCTAGATATGTGCAGCTGGAGGAGGTGGAGAGAGGGTCACTGGAGAAATGTGCTCAGCAGGAGTTTCATTAAAATCACATGACTTTCTAGCCACCTTCAAAAAAGCTCTCTTTTCTGTTGACATTGAGGATTTCAGTAAATGATCACATTATATTGAATCATGATCTCTAATCTTAAGCAAAATCTTACAAACTCAGGCAAAATCCATGCATCCTTAACTGTTTCCAAGTCTTGATATTCCAGGAATGATGATCCATGGCCTGCTGAAATACTTGACATTGCTGTCATATCGTCTGTTTTATAGAAAATAGAATCAGACAATTTGCCTCCCCTTGATTGAGGCTTAACTCTGACTCGGTCATTATCAGAAAAAGCAGTGCTTGGTTAAATATTGATGCTATGAGAAAAGCCATTCTTTGTCAGGGATTATGAATTATTACACAAAGATAATGAATCAGGGGAACAATACCGATTGCTCCTAAATTGAGAGATTAGTTTACCAAAGGTCTGCTAGGATGGAACTTCTGCTTTCATCCATTTTAAAAGAATTCGTCAGAAGATTAACTTAAGAATGACTGCCGTGGGAGCAGCAAGTTCTGAATCTGGAAGCCAGCTAATGCCCAGCTGAACTAAACGATTATGAGCCAGAGAAGACACTGGGCTACAATCCAGATCAAAGAAACGTTGAATAGCTAATAACCTGAGATACCTGAGTGTGTAGTAATTGTTTTATTTCCTCAACATTTAATAGCCTCAACATGTACAAAAATCCTTGCTTTGTTTTATATGCCTCTTTAAGAATGCAATATAATGTTATCATCTATTATGTAAGATATTATAAGACACCGTGTCTGCTGTGCAAATTCATGTTTTTTAATATGTTGAAATGCATTCTTGTATCCTAGCAGAGATCTATAAGTAAGCAATAGTTTGACAAAAAGTGTACGCAACAGACTCTGTACAGCAAAGAAATGCTGATCTGTTTGTTTGAGCATCACAACCTGCCCAATAATAGCAACACTGATTCAACCAATGACGCACATTTGGGGCAGGACTATTTGTTGACTGACTAATAGTAACACTGTACTACCAAGACAATTCACTAAAATTACTATACGTGGGAGAAAATGCAATGCGCAATATGGCAGAACAAGTCCCGCTTTATAAATTAAATAGCTAACCAGCAATTGGTAAAGACATCACACCATTGTATCTGCCGCCTGAGGCTTTGGTTCCCACAGAAACAGGTAATGTCCTGAGACATGCACTTGGGACTGCACATGTGCAACGGCTGAATCAACTTGAAAAATACGCTTTTTTGATGCTATTTGAGAGTGAGAAACCAAATCCATGGGTCAGTTCCTGTCAGATTTTGTTGCTGGGTTGGAAATGTTTAAATGAGGATTTGCAGTTTTAAGTTTTTGAGAGTTCAGTATTTCCCTATTCAAGTAGATAGGCATAGTTGGTCTCGGATGCCCGAAATAGCGGCCTGGAGGTGTAGCCAATATGGCTGCTTAGTGAACTGCCTTTCCTTGAAAAGGGACTTTGCTGTCAACAAGAGTGACAGAGTATTTGGGAACCTGTTTGAACCAGTCATTATTTTCACAATTCTGTTTGTTGATGCTACAGGCGCAGAAATTACACACTTGAGCTTTATTCGGCTTTCAGAATATGTATCAATCCTTTTTGAGATTCAACAAACCTCTTTCATGGCACTCTAATCGTTTTCAGTATATCCCTGTCTTTTCCTTAATCCCCCTATATTTCACAGTCTGTCATCTTTTCCTCTTTCTTTACAGGAACCTCTCCGGGCCAGGTAACGACCTACATCAGGATTCCTTTTACAATATGCAAGCCTCACAATCCTCAAAATCTTGCAGCAGCCATTTAGACCACAGGTGTGCTAGGAGCCTCAGGTCAGGCGGTTCCAGCCAAAGTCCTCCTGCTCCCTACCGTCCCTGCTCTATCCCAATCATCCCCTCTGTCCACTTCTACCAGGATGAGGTATCGTGTATGCAAACCGCCCCTAGTGCTGGAAGCAACCGTTCTAGTCCTCTGGAAAGCACAGAGGAAGCTTCGGCCGTTGATCAACAGTCTAACGTAACGGTCTCCAACCGAGTGGCTGGTACACAGGAGGAAGTGGCCTCACTACTCCACGAGGCTCAGGAACAGCTCAGAGCACTAGCACATGCCCAGAGGAAGCAGGAGGACATCAGTAGCTCCGTCCCTCAGGGGGCCAAAGAGACTGTGTGCATCCTTTTAGCAAATGGGGGTGGACAAGGGGGAGTGGCTTCTTTTGGGCCCACGGAAACTCAGTTAGTGAGCCCCAGAGACACGCACAAAGATGCCACAAAGCCTGGCCAATGAGAAGGGGTTGACAGAACTAACCACAAATGTGTGTCTTTGGGCTTCAGAATACTCCGCCAACATTGGGATACCACTGAAAGCTACGATTGAATTTCTGAGGACGTGCTGTGGGCGATAGCGTGAGAGTGACGAACAGGAGTCTCGAACATGTGAAAAGATAATTTATTTATATGCATTTATTTAAGGAGAAACTTAGAAAAAGAAACCAAATAGTCTGTCATCTCCATGGTGTTTTTAACTGTATAAAATATACATAAATATATATAAATGGATATAAATATATGAATTCAAACTGGTGACCAAGTACAAAAATGGAATATGGGAATGAGAAACTTTCTTTTAAAGCGTATCAGCCCCACATCCTTAAAGACTCGATGCTTGGTGGTTCAAAAGTTATAAAAATAGGAGTTTTTCCACTTGTTTCACTCATTTCCAGTCAAGCTAAGCTTGTCCGACACACAATCTTGTGTTTTGCACCTGCCACTGCAGCAGCTGTGTTTACTATCACCGTCCCAGTCACTGTCCTCTACCCTGCCAAGGAATATGGCTCCATCTGCCTTTGAAAACCGTGGAACGTGGATTACAATTGGATTAAACTTCTAACAAAATCGTATCCAGGCATGAGGTAACTGATAGTTAAGCACTGCCTCCAAGACATCGATTGGAAGAATTTGATGTGTCCGTCCATTTGTGGAGCAATCTGCGTTTTGTTTTCTGTGCCTCAGTGCGTTCACTCCTTCATTTGGGTTCGGATACAAGTAAAGATAAGCTACTGGAACAGAGCACATCGTACTACACACCACCCGAGATGCACAAACAGACCGTTGGCACCTCTCTGGATGAACTGAGGAGATTCCTGCACAGGGATAACAGAGAGCTGGCTTGGCCAACAAAAGGAGCTTTTGTGTTTTTTCTTTTCATTCTTATGAAATTATCTGCTGCTTTCTGGGAAGGTGGGTGGGAGCAGCAGTCACTATGAGTCTGTATGCTATACCTTTTAAATTGGGACATAATATTTCTGTGAATTAACAACCAAATGTGGTAAGAAAGAAAAATTAACAATGAATCTTTGGTGACGCTGTTTCTTTGTTTCCAATGTTTTTTTGTTTTGTTTCGTTTAGTTTTTTTCTGACCCACAATTCACACAATTGTGCATGTTGATGGTATTGTTTTGCAGAACCAAGCCATGATAGTTTTAATGATTTATAGAAAAGCCCCACAAAGAAGAAACTGCATTATAATTGACCTGCGTCTGCTGATTTCAACCCAAATCCTGGCATAAAAACACATGAGTGGTCTGCTGAGTTTTATAGATCAGTCCAGTCCTAATAGACCCATTTCTGAGAAATGCTCAATGGCTGCATTATATTGAATTGACTTTTTTATGTGCTGTTGTTTCTCCTCAAGCATTTATTTAAGACCACTACCTGGAGTTTGATTTTAAGACCTTCTTAAAAGCATGCTGCATTTGTCCTCCATCAGAGGTTGTGTCTACCGTGCCAGCCATAACTCAAGGCAAAGGTGAAATGAAACATCATCTGGTAAAAGAAAGCAAAGTAAAGGTTAGCCTGTGGCAGAAAGGAGCTGTAAGGGCAGACAGATAAGACTCTCACTTTATCTTATAACACCTTCCCTGGGCAAAAGCACTGACCTCATCAGTGAATTGCAGTGGAGTGGCATGTCTATCAAGATAATCAAGCATCATCAAAAGAAATGTGAAAGTATTGCTGTAAGGGAAAGACAAGATAGATTTAGATCTTAAAGCTCTACCGTTTCTTTATAAAACAAATGAAATTTTAATAATAGAAAATATCACAGTGCAACTCAGCTGTCAGTGGGATTTCATTTAGGAGGCATCAGTTTGATATGAGCTGTTGGTAGACTGTCTTTTTTATTTTGTGACATATTTTTAAAACCAATTAAAATGGGTATGTTTGTTAGTATGAGCATTCATGATTGTTTTTTTTTTTCTGTTTTCAAATTCTGAGTATGCTCATTTTGTGCATTTCATTTTATTGGCATACAGTAGATATCCAGAAATGCCGCACATGCAACAAAGATTATACCACATTGCTAAGTGATCTATAAAACGACAGACTAATTCATATGCAGGTCATAGCAGCAGATATATGAACTGTCCATCTGTTACAGCTCTTAATGTTCATTTTCAGTTGAAATGGTGTGAGAAAGTTTCATTTGAGTTGGACCATATTTTTGTACACTAGTGCTGAAGTGTATTAAATTATGTTTTTGCACAGTAATTACAATGTATGGTAATTAATGCTGTCATGATTCCAGAATGTAAGGTGTGTGACTTCAAATTCATCACAGAAGACCGTATATTGCAAGACAGAATGCGCAAGCTGCAACTGTGCAAGGTGTAACAAGAGCGCAACTGAAACTTCATGGTTCTGTATAACAGCCCCTTGATGTACTTTAATGTGCAATTTCAAAATCGAGAAATGAAATTTCAGTTCATTCTTGTATGTGAGAAACTGCATTATTGCCCTTCCCAATTGAAATAGTTTTTCTTTTCATTTAGTTAATTTTTTTATTTTTTTCAATAAAGATGAATCTTCAGTGTTGAATAATGTTAGAATGAGTGTTTTTTAACTAAATAATAAACTATTATTAAATATAAATCATAAGATTAAAATAGTGTTATTCTAGTATTATTTATATACTAATATTTTTACAGTTTCTCTTAGACGGTCTTTACATTTCTCAGATGGCAACTAAAATTCTCAAAAATACTTGTTCAACCTCCACGTCATCTACAGTAGTCACCTGTGCACATCATAAAAGCAATTTCTCATTGTTTTGAACAATGCTGTGGTTGTTCATGCAGTTATATACAATTTTCTGATGTTTCCTATATTATCAATTACTTATATCATGTTGATTAAAATATATAATACTGGTTGAATAGTCTTTCCCCACAAAACATCTGTATGTAAACATGTATGTTAACATAAACAGTCAAGCATATATCCATACATTTCTATTAGATTTGTTTATGAATTCCACAGGTAGAGCTTGAATTTGACTAATGAAGGGGAATGTAAAGTGTTAGATCAACCAATGATCACTACCAGTTCTCTGCTCAGAGGTGCATCTCAATTGGAAAGAATATATATACAGTGTGTGCATAATTATTAGGCAAGTTGATATTCTGATCATATTTTTTTCCAAGCACATTTTACCAAAGTTTAAGGAGAGGAAAGCATTACCAAATAGAATTTGCAAAGTTAAGGCATGACCTTTGGACAGCAAAATGCTCATTCGGTCAGCACGGTCAGAAAAAACAGGTGTAGAAGAAAAGACACATGTTAACTGCAAAAGAATTAAGAATTAAGGTGAAGATTTAGGTGTGAAACCATCAGGAACCATTTAGTCTCCAGCGCCACCATTTTCCAAAACTGCAACCTTCCTGGAGTCTCCAGAAGTGTTAGGTTCTCAGAGACTTTGCTTGGGTAAAAAAATCCAAAAAAAAAAAAAAAAAAACCTTACTTAAGAATAACATGCTGAAGTGTTGTGAAATACATGAAGGCTGTTTTTTTTTTATAGGCTTTATAGACAGATACATTGAGAGTGACCTTGAAGGACCAGCATCACATCCTCTTGTACCACTCTTTCAAGAATTTATCTTCCAGAATCTGGCAGTAAGTTTTGGGAGTTCATTTTTAGTCCATCTCCAGCAGACTTTTCAGGATAGGAGATGGACTTAAAATGAACTCCCAAAACTTACTGCCAGCAGAGTTGGGTGGTATTTTAATTAAATGTATTTGAAATATGTATTTAATTACTAAATACGTATTTTGTAATTTGTATTTTGCTGGGCAAAAAAAAAACATTTGTACAGAGCACACCTGTACACATAAATACCATATATTGTTTATATTGCCTTGTCTTGTCACTATCATTCTGTTTGTTCTGTGGAAGCCTCTGTCACCATAACAAATTCCTTGTATGAGTAAACATACCTGGCAATAAAGCTCTTTCTTCATCTGTGTTAATAGTACTGCCAACTATAGCCTATCATAGTTTTTGGCTATATGCAGTGAATCATATGACATCCTGTTGGATCTGGTTTAGTTCACCCCAAAAAAAAAAAAAAAAATGTTATCATTACATCGTTTCAGACACATAGATTTCTTTGGAACACAAATAATGTGTAATTTTTTTTTTCTATATAGTAAACACAAATGGCTTGGAGTTATGAAAAAGCTCCAAAATTACAAAAGTACCAAAAAAGTCATGCACTATATTTCAAGTCCTCCATCTGAAATCATGTGAAATAGACCACTGTTCACTGAAAATCTGTTGTTACTCACCCTCATGTCGTTCCACTCCTGTTGACCCTTGTTCATCTTTGGAACATAAATTAAGATATTTCTGATGAAATCCGAGTGTTTTCTGTCACATCACTTATACATTCAAGATCCAGAATGGTAGGAAAGACATCAAGTAATTCATGTCAATTTTATTAAGTGGCATGAGTGCTTTTTTTGCACACAAAAAAAACATAATTTACCACTTTATTTCCGAAAATATTATCCAAACAGGTGTTGTGGTACTCTAGTGAACACTCACTCATGTGCGTCGTGTTGACGCAAGTCTTCTATGGCATGAACACAACACAAATGCGTTTTAATGCTCTCGTGAACATCACACAATGCAGATCAATATTTTCATAAATAAAGCTGCAATTTATGTTTTATTGTGCAAACAAAGCACTCGCGTTGTTTAATAAAGTTGAGGTTAAGCCACTTAAGTCACATGGAGTACTTTAACGATGTCTTTCCTACCGTTCTGGGCTTTGAAATGTATAAGCTGCATTACAGCCTATGGAGGGAAAGCTCTCGGATTTCATCAAAAATATCTCCATTTGTGTTCAGAAGAGGAATGAAGGTCTTACGGGTGTGAAACGACACAAAGGTGAGTAATTAATGACAGAATTTCCATTTTTGGGTGAAATTAACCTTTAATTCATCCATGGTTCCATCTTTCAACTGGAAAAAAAAAATGAAAGAAGCTGTTTTGGTGCTCAGTGCAAACTAGCTAAGTATGTATTAAAATATATACTATCAGATATTGCTCACTGAATGTTATTAGAGGACAGAAGAAAAGACTGCTCTAGAACTTTACTTGCTAGCTGACAAGTGACGTTAGCTTGCTTGGCAAAAGGTAGCTACTTGTTTCTATAGACAAACTGACATTTTTCAAGTATTAAAATAAATATTATTGCCAATGTCTGAACAGCATGTAACGAAACTTAAAAAATGAAAGCCTGTAGACCATTATGTGAATGAAATCCAAGGGAAACTGTCATTAGAGTGTAATTTTAATGAACCTCATCTGTCGACATGATGTCGGTGAATCCCACTGGCCATTGCTGGCTCGTATTCTAGGCCTATTATGGAGTGTGTGCAAGAGCATGAGCAATAAGTTACTGACCACAGCTCACTTAACGGCCCTTGATTGCTTGTAAATATTGTTTGTATTTTTGTATTTTCAAATTACAAATTACTTGTATTTTAATGAAATAAATTTCTCACACCAGTATTTTGTATTTAAAATTAAAAACACATTTGATG